AAATTCTCATGCTCGACTTAATATTGACCCAATTCTTACTTGAGTTGAGATTGAATTTTCAATACAATTATATTTATTGACAAACAAAGCTTTCTAAAGCACAACTCGACATGATAAGTATAGATAAAATTTTCAAGATCAGCTTAATGCTGACCTGAATCAATTTTTGAGTGTAGATTGAATTTTCAATAAATATATAGTTACCAAAATAAGAATTTTGTCTAAATTTAGCTCAAATTTTGAGGTACTTAGACGTATAATATTTATGTTCAGGCGGCTTTTCGAGCACTAGAGTTTGCAAGGTGCAAGCTCAAGCACGACTCAAGTTTGTTTTCGAGGTACTTGAGCTCGAATCATGAATCAAGCGCTTGCAATTCAACTGCAGTCTTGTTCAGGCATGACACAGTGTTGTCGCACTATCTCGCTAAGGTAGGACCCTCCTGTCATCATAAGTCGATGAAAATAGTTTTACCTAGATTGCAACGATTGTTTCTCCTATCATTAATTTGTTAAAATTAACTCATCTTTCCATTTGAGTTATATGCTCACATTTCACTCTATTCGTACCTTTACAACAAAATACAATGGAACAAACTGTTATAAATTCATGGTACGGTAGGTTCACTTATCATATTTACTGTTTAGTATGAATGAGTATTTTTCTCTCAAAATAATAATACATATATGATTGTGTCATCAGAAGTTTCTTCTATAAGTATAACTTTAATTATAATGAAAAATATACCAAGAGAATGTATATTCGTTATATTCTCTCATTCCTCTAAGGTTTTATAACACAAATGCATTAAACATTGTCCATATTGAATACAAATGATTGAGACCACCTTGTCAAATGTTGTTGGCCATGATCACAGTCCTTAGTGAGACACCCACATGACATTTTTCTTACTTTGGTTGGTTATATGTTAACTTTCTCACTTGTCTAATGAACAAAAAATATGTTCATGTGACAACATATAAAAAAAAATGACTCAAACCCTATTAATTAATTATCAATTATCTCTTCCTTTGATCCTCCCCAAGCTTTCTCAGCATCACCAAGAGAACATTGGCTTGCTAAATTTGCCATTTTTGCCTCTTTAGTCTTTCCCCACAACACAAAATAGAGCCCTCCCACTAGAAGAATTGCTCCCAATACACTACCACAAATTTTCAACAAACAATAAATCAATATTTATACGTATAATACGTAATTTCAACAAATGCACAACAAATGTCTCGTCTGATGAAATTAGACGGGACATTTGGCACACCAAATGAATTGATTGAGATAATTAATTAACTAATTATGCTTAATTACCTTCCGAAACTAATAATCTCTCCTAATATAAAAGCCGATAGAACGATTGTGAACACCATGATTAGTGGAGTTGTCATGGCTAGGAAAACCGGACCTTTCTTCTCGACAACCCATGTTTGAAGGTAAAACGTAACACCCGTCACCACAATTCCCTACAAAAAATAGACGATAAAAAGATAGTCTTAAAATCAATAACTTGTGAAATTAGGGGCTTTTTTTTTTTTTTTAAATAA